CGCGGGTGCCATGAACCTGTACATCATCTCGGTGAATGGGATCAAGGGTCGCGTGAACAGGCTGCCGGCGGCTGGCGTGGGCGACATGGTGATGGCTACCGTCAAGAAGGGCAAGCCGGAGCTGAGGAAGAAGGGTGAGTGCGGAGAGGAGCGGTGAGTCCCGCTGCACCAACGGGCAGCTCCTGCCCAGAGCCTGCCTGCGCTGTAGTGTCCCTCCTGCACGGGACGGAGCGGCAGGCCACTCATCGAAGGGGAGGACAATTCCTCCCCCAAACTGGCGCAGAAGGCGGGTGCTGAATCTCTGGAGCGTCACCTCCACCCGTCTAAAAAGCAGTTGTTGGGTCTGTGTGCAGTGGCTCAGCGAGTTGTGGTGGAAGGGCAGAGCAAAGGCATCACTTTTGGGTGAAGTGGCAGCTCGTGCTGTTCATTTCAATCAGTGGTGTGACATTCTTCCTCGGAAAAGAAGGTTTGCTGCTGCTCTGGAGGGGAAGGGAGGAGTTCTTGCTGAATATTGTCTGTGAATTGATGGTATATTTAGAAATAAAAGTGGGGAAGTGGAAAAACACTGAATTATCCAAGTGTAGACACAGCTGTAACTGTTACACAGTCAGTTTTAAGTGTATTATTGACTATAAACTGTAGCTTCTCTTAGAGAAGCACTGCAAATACAAGATAAAAAAACCCACAAACTCTGAACCCATGCGTTGAGTTATATGCTGCAGTGGAACAGTTCCTCTGGGCATCTCTTGCTGGACTGTGCGCTTAACGTGATGTATGCGGTACCGAGCTGCTCATTTCTCTTTGCAGTCCACCCAGCAGTGGTCATTCGGCAGCGGAAATCGTACAGGAGAAAAGATGGGGTGTTCCTCTATTTTGAAGACAACGCAGGAGTGATAGTAAATAATAAAGGTGAAATGAAAGGTATGGACAATAATCCTGTTGCACGGGGCAAAGGGGGAGCGCAGAGAGGGGTGGTAGGTCGGCATTGCCGGTTAGAGGGCTGCGCTCTCCTGAGCAGAAGGACCCAGATTCTCCTCAGACTCAGGAGAGCGCAATCGGGCTGAGCTAGTGTTTGTGTAAAATGTTGCCCTGAACCATCTCTGCACCTACTCAGTCCTCTAACATGCTGTTGTCTTTTTCTCTTCTCCAGGCTCTGCAATCACAGGCCCTGTGGCTAAGGAGTGTGCAGATCTGTGGCCCAGGATAGCCTCCAATGCAGGAAGCATTGCATAAACGCGTTCATCTTCGTAGAGATAAAATAAAAGTCCTTGTACCAAATAAGTAGTGTCTTTCTTGCCAAAGCGCCCTCCTCTGCTGAGCAGGACAATGTTATAACGAGGGAGTTAGCTCTGGGAAACCCTTTTACGGAGCTCCTTGTGTGGATGCATACTTTACTAGGAAAATGGGGTTTGGAGTTTCAATATCCAACGATAAGTCTCTCTTTCAGGCAGGTTCCTGCATTACTGGAAAATATCTGGAAGGGGGTTGCACTGGAACGACTTAAATTTTAGCAATACTGACCGAATTGATCCAGTTAAGGTATGCACGGATAGAAATTGGGAAGTCTATGAAAGCCCTTCTACGAGAAACGTTCCTACAGGGGCTCTCAAAATCGTAGGTCTGGAATTTTCTTCCAGAATGGGCAATTTAACTGCTTAGAGATACTGGTCTGATTCTGTGGGGGGGAAAAACACTGCCTGAAACTGATCTGTTCCGTGAGCTGCAGAGTTCATTCTGGAGCTCTGAAGAATGTTCCTTAGACCTTGCTGAAGACGTGCAAGGACGCATCAAGCCCACTGCTGCTGGCTGGGGTCGTGGCTGAAGCACATGCCTCTAAACCCTCCATCAGTGGTGAAACAGGCCCCAAGATCATTGACTTAATTGCAGATAGAAAGGGTGATCTGAACTTCCAAGATCAGCTGAAAGGCTTCAAGATCAGAGTTGGAAGGTAGGTCTATGCAAAAGCTCCTTACGTTATGTGAAGTTGCTTGTGATTTTCCTGGTGGTGTCTCTGGCAGAAGCGGAGAAAGGAATGTGGATGTGAACTGCAGGTCAGCTTGTTCTCTGGCCCTCCTGAGCAAGGGCCACTGGAGGGGTAGGGAGGCTGCCTTGTACCTGGGCTCGCAAGTGAAAATAGGGGTGACTTTGTCCTGGATATGGTGGCCTCGGTGCCCTGTAACACCCAGGTTGACCCCAGCACAAATGCTGCCGTGGGCCACAGGGCGGGTGACGGGGTGCTGCTCCCCCTGAGTGGCTCCTGGGACCTGCTGTGACTGGTACCTCTGGCAGCCCCTGGTGCGGTTCGGTTTGCCTCCATCCGCCCTGGCACTAAGCTGTTCCCACAGCACATTCACTTCTCCCTTAGAGATTTTGGGGATATTTTTGTGCTACTCCTAATGTTTTCAGTGCAGGCAGGTTATAGTGGAGGAAGGAGGGTGGTGAAGGAAGCAAAGCCTCAGAGATTTTGTAGCCTGAACAGGTAATGATGGACAAGAGCACCAGGGTCTTGCAATGGTTTGTAAAGTGGTGTTTTTAAACAGATGTTTGGCCTGACCAACATGAATCTGCAAAATATT